TATATATATATAATTAAAATGGATCACTAGTTAATATAGCCAGCTCTCTCAGTCACCCATTTACCTCTATCATTTTGCCTGATACTCAGACTGAAAGAAACCTTTATTTCCCCCCTCTGGTAGTCTCTTTTCTCTATTATAGAGCTTCACAGCCCTCACCTGGCCTTGTCCTTTCATTCCATTGCTGCTGAATTTATTTTAGATTTATTTTAGATTCTCTTCCACCTCAAACTTCCTCTACCAAACTCAAGAATAGATACCCAGGACCTGTCTGAATAATTGTTAACCATGGATTACAGCGACAAGCTTTACCACACACATTTCAACAAAACAGCACATAGCCAAAGAATGCAAAAAAGACAGAGGTTCAGAAAAATCTTAACACCATGGACAGTGAAAATTGCAAAGCCCTAAACACTGCAATTAAACCTTGATTAAAACTGTACTGGAAAATTTTTAAGAATCGTCATAGCTCTACAACACATTTTTTTAAATTTTTAAGGAAAAAATTTTAAATATATTCTCAATAGTGCCTATTAATTTTACAAAATATTGGGCTTGTACACGCATATACGTTGGTCGTGCTTATCCTTCTGATCGTTGTTCTGTACAGCCTGTCACTGTCATTCCTTATAGCACCCCCTTTCTCCTCTCTTCTTGTCTAGAAAAGTCTCCCTTCTGCTTTCTAGTCATCTTTATCAGAGTCCACATATTAGGGAAAACCTGGTACTTTTCTTTCTGATGCTGGTTTATTTCTTCTAACATGATGGTCTCCAGTTTTATTTTCCTGAAAATGACATAAGCCCATTCTTCTTTACAGCTGAATAATATTCCATTGTGTGTCTGTGTCACAGCTGCATTATCCATTCATCTGTTGATGGGACCTAGGCTGGTTCCATACCTTAGCTACTGTGGCTTGTGTCACAGTGAAGACAGGTGTCCAGGTGTCCCTAGAGCATGCTGACTTAATTCCTTCATGTATACACCAAGGATTGGTATAACTAGATAAAATGGTAACTCTACATTTAGTTTTGTTTGGGAGATTTTTGAGTTTTGTTTTGTTTTGTTTTTTGTCTTTTTGAGACAAGGTCTCACAATGCAGTTCAGGCTGGCCTTGAGCTCACTTTGTAGCCCAGGCTGGTCTCAAACTTGCAATGATCCTCCTGCTTCAGCCTCCCAAGTGCTGAGATTGCAGGCGTGTGCCACCACACTCAGCTTACATTTAGTTTTTTGAGGAACCTCCTTACTGATTTTCATAGTGGCCATAATAATTTATGCTTCCTATGTAGAAGGGTTCCTTTTTCCCTACATTTCCTTTTTCCCTACATTTTCCTTACAAGCAGCATCCACTATTTTGTTTTTGTTTTTTCTCTTTTGCAGTACTGGGGGTAAAATTTAAGCCTTCACACTGAATTACATCTCCAGCCATTTTTAAATTTTGTGTTACTTTTCTTTTAGTTTAGAGGCAAGGACTTGCTAAATTGCCCAGGCTGGGCTCAAATTTTTGATCCTCCTTCCTTAGCCTCCCAAAGTGCTGCGATTATAGGCATGTGCCACCATGACCAATTTAAAGTGGTTTTTTTGTTGTTGTTGTTCTTGATTATAGCCATTCTGATTGGGGTCAGATGGAATCTCAGTGTAGTTTTGATTTTCATTTCTCTATTAGCTAAAAACGCTGCCAGGCATGGTGGCACACACCTATAATCCCAGCACTTGGGAGGCACAGGCAGGAGGGTCACCTTGAGTTTGAGGCCACCCTAAACTACATAGTGAGACCCTGTCTAAAAAAAAGGCTAAGCATTTTTTCATATACTCATTGGCCAGTTGTACTTCCTGTGAGAAGGATCTGTTCATTTGTCTACTGATTGCCTAGGCTATTTGATTTTTTGGTGTTCAGGGTTTTTTTTTTTTTTGCATTCTTTATATACTTTAGATATTAATCCTTTGTCAGAAAACTAGCTACAAAGATGCTCTCCAATTCTGCAAGCTGTCTCTTCACTCTACTCATTATTTACCTTGCTGTACAGAAACTTTTTAATTTGATGTCGCCCCATTTGTTGGTTCTTGCTATTGTTCCCTGTGCTACTAGAGTCCTATGTAAGAAGTCTCTGCCTGTGCCTTGGGCTTCAAGTGTGTGTTTCCTCTATGCTTTCTTTCAGCAGGCTCAAAGTTTCCGGTCTTAGGCCAATGTCTTTAATTCATTTGGAATTGATTTCTGTACAGTGTGAAAGATAAGGATTTACAAGTAGGTATCCAGCTGTACCAGCACCTTTTATTGAAGAAGCTGTCTTTCTCCCATCTATGTTTTTGACTCCTTTAGCTGTATTTGCATGGGCTTGTTTCTGTGTCTACTATTCCATTCCACTGGTTTGTGTGCTTATATTCATGCCAGTTCCATGCTCCTTTTGTTACTATAGTTTTGTAATATAATTTGAAAATTTTTGTTTAATAATGTGACCCTCAGGATACAAAATCATCATGCTCTTGGCTTGCTCTTTTTACTCAGGATTACTCTGTCTCATCTGGGTCTTTTGTGTTTCTTTATAATATTGGAACTATGTTTTCTAGTTTTGTGAAGAATGTCCCTGGGATTTTGATGGGACTGCACTGAATCTGTAGATCCTTTTGGTAATATGGCCATTTCAACAATATTAACTCTGCCAACCCATGAACCTGGGAGTTTTACAATCTTCTAATGCCTGCTTCAGTTTCTTTCTTCAAAGTTCTATTTTTTTTTTTTTTTTTTTTTGGAGAAGTTTTTTACCTCCTTAGGTTGAGTCCCAATGTTTTATTTATTTATTGTTTTGAAGCTGTTGTGAATGGAACTGTTTGCCCAATTTCTTTCCCATGTAGGTAATTATTGATGTGCAGAAAAACTATTGATTTCTTAATGTTGATTTTGTATCCAGAACCTCAGATTTTTAAATGAAAAGAAATTCACTTCAGTTTTATACAAATTGAATCCAGACAATGGGAGAATAGTTGAATATCCAGAGAGGTTGTGTTGTGCATTTGCCTGCTTTCTCTGGGCCATCTTCACCCTCACAACCAGTGGACAGGTAGCATTTAATAATTAAGACTATTTAGGTCCTCAGCTTCAGGAACCTTCCTCCTCCCATGAAGTACAGATATAGACCCATTGTTAGCAGAATACAGACCAAAGGACATTTCAGTACCAATCCTCTCTCTCTCTCTCTCTTTCTCCCTCTCAGTCTCTCAATACAAAGAAATTACATCTTATGGTTCAAAACTAACATTAAATACTACAGCAAAAAATATTTTCCACCTCATCCTCTTCTATTAATCTAGTTCCCAAGTTTCTTCCAGATGAACTACAGATAACAATTTCTTGTTTATCTGGCAAGAGATTGTGTGTGTGGTGTGTGTGGGGGGGTGTCACATTTAAGTCTATATAATCAGCATATATTTCAAATGACATTTCCAGAAACCTGTTTTGTCATTGTTTGACAGTACTGGAGATCAAACCCAGGAACACTGTATCACTGAGTTACATCTCTAGTCCTTTCTGTTCAATTTTTTATTTTTAAAGTTTTAAGACATGTCTTACTAGGTTGCCTAGGTGGGCCTTGACCTTGAAATCCTCCTGCCTCAGCCTCCCAAGTAGCTAACTAGGATTGGCGGTTCCTTCCAAGGAAACCTGATGGTTACCACTCTCCTACATATCTACCAACTTTGTGTTTTGCCCTCGCTTGCAAAGAGTCTGTGACTCCATGGTCAGCACAACCCATTCCTTTAATTGTGATCAGTCCGAAACAAAATGTGGCGATTTTCAGTTAAATGATCCTAAATATGTGGTCCAAATTTGTAATGACTTAATAAAAAGATTTAAAAAGTCAGAAGTATCAGTTATATGAGATATATTGTACCTATATTACGTTAGCCATATTATATTAATCTTTCATTACACTTTGTATTTTATTATTGCTATTAACCAGCACCATGTAGTTTATTGGGTCAGAGTCTCTGTACCTGGAAGATCTATGCAAAGAAATCGCCCAGCTCCCACCTTACCCCTTCTCCGCTCTTCCCGGGGCTTCTTGGGCACTTATTTTGGGGAGTCCCAGCTAAACAATTTCCTGATAACTGAAAAGACAGACAAGTGTGTGGCTTGTTGACAAAAGCCTAGGTAAACAGAAGCCAGAAGAGGGAAAATTTCCCAGAGGAGAGAGTTCTTATCTTCTTATCTCTAGTTTTTACACAGCAAAGGATCCATAAAATCAAGGAAAATTAGGAAGCAAAGTCCACCTCGTTTAGTTTGTAAACCAAAAGACAGGGAGGAAAGTAGCTGAGAAAAGTTGCACAACCCACAAGACAGCATGGAGGGCGAGGCAGTGAGCAGCAGGAGCACAGGGACTGCTGGGGGCAAGTGGAGCGAAGGACGCTTTAAAATTGAACAGCCTCGCTGAGAGAGCTCAGAGGCTACTTGAAAATCTCTCACTGCCATTATGATTCTTATTTTCTTTCCCCTTGCTTCCTGTTCAGGGCACTATCAGATGTAATTATTTTTATTCTGGGAACAGCCAGTTCAACAAGTTTGCTTCTCTGGGGAGTAGGTACCACGAGCATAATCTCTGTACCACAGAACAAGTGGTAGAAAGGGTCAGTTAGCAGCCGGCTCGGACTTGTGAGCGCTGCCCAGAAACCAAACTACACACCCACAAATGCGTCCTGCAGGAAGTAACCTGAAACCCTGTGTGCACAGGGCCCCACACTCAACTGCTTTTAGTGAGTTA